AATAGAATTTTCAAAAGAACAGAATTTATTTGAAACGTAAATTGTATGTAACAATGTAAAAGTCTTTGTCACTTTTGATCAATTGAATGAATTCTTGCTGAGTAAAAGCAAAATAAATAAATAAAAAAATAACAATAATAAAAACAACAACAACAAAACTTTTTAACCATCCTTAGTCTTAGTTGACATCATGACTCAACAGCTCTATAATATTTTATTTTATAACTTAGGTAATTTTGTAATCAGAATGTAAACAAAAAATGAAAAGTAATTTTCAGGAAAATGTGAAACATTTGAAAAACATCAAAAACATTATATTTCTATTCACTCACCCACCAGCACAAGTAAAGCGACAGTTCACTAAATAAAATGAAAAATTTCACCCGTCAAAAATCACATTCTATCTAGGCATTTGCTGACATGAGATAAGAGGTGATCTACTTCAGGGGTCCAGACACCACTGGGGTCTGAAAATGCTTGAAGATTCTCACGTTCCTTGTTATTAAACCTGCTAACAGACTGGCATTTAAATGCTCCTACTATATGATAATACATAATGGTCACAACATTAAAACGCTTTAATAGTCTGGTGTCATGCTGTTGAGGGTTCATTTTATGCAATTGGTGACTCAATGAGTTGGGGCTGCTCTCAGATTGCTCTCAATTTCACCAGCTCAGAGCAGAAGGATCAACTGTAGTTAGCTCATGCTGTTGACATGCATATTGAAGGATCTCTTTCACCCAAATGAGTCTGTAAACAAGATGTGAAGGCAGCACTGGCAACACAACTCGCAGGAATAAGTGTCGAGGAGCAGTTATTGCGTTATTTAGAGCACCATAAAGTGCAGGGCTATTGATTTGAGAGGCAAAGCGGCTCCATGTCATTGCTGAATCATTTAACTGATATATTATGCACTATGCTCTTCCCTCTGCCACCCTGTCTGTTTCCAACCACATCAGTCCAGCACATTTCCAATAATACTTTGCTCCTTTTTAATCCTTTGCACTTTTGCTTTTGTGAAGGATCTCATTATTAACCACCCAAGTTTGTCACTTTTTCTAAACATCTAAGGCCGTGTGTACACCTGGTCTGGAGATCAGATCAAAAGTTCATCAGATCATAAATTTCTGCTTACACCGGACATAAACATTTATCATCAAATACATCTCCCTTTGAACCTTTGATGAGCAGTTTCATAAATTAAAATAAATAATATTAAAATAATATTAATAATTGAATAATAATTAGTAATAAATTAATCATTTAACTAAACCGTTTGAAAATTAAAATATCAAAAACCAAAGCACTAAATAAATAAATAAATAAATAAATACACCACTAGAAAATAAAATAAAACAAATAGATCACAGTAAAAAAAAAAAAAATAATAATAAATTAAACACAGTCAAATATGTACAATTAATAAATAAAATAGCCATGATAAAATAGAAAAATAAGAGAAAAGGTCCAGTACATAAACAAATCACAGTGGAAATTAAATAAATAGATAAACAAACAGATAAAAAGAGGGAAATTTCAATAAAAAAAACAAAAAACAGAAACATTTCAATAAATCAATATCTGGAACTCAGTGGATGATTGACAGATGTGTAGGAGGTCCTTGTTGTCCAGATCACACACACTGATTGTCATTTACACTACACTTCAAAAGTGGTTTGAGTGATCGAATCACAAAATGTTTTGGACCTGCTTACACCTGTATTTAGTGGTGTCTGCTTACCTGAGCATCCACCTGAAATTGATGTAAGGTGTAACTTTTATAGTGTTTGTCACCCAGGGATAATTTCTAATTTTACAGAAAAAAAGTGCACTAAGGCTGCGAACAGCTTGGGGTTATAAAGAGACGTAGATAGAAATAATCACAAACTGTGCAAGGCATGCAATAAAAACAAGTCTCACCAGAACCGAATGGCCCATGTTTACATAGATTCAAAGCTGTTAATTCTCTATAAATCTATGCAGCGTTTGGAGCCGGTCCCTAGCACACAAGCTGGGAAGCTCTCCTGAGCTTATAGTCTGTTATGGCACTGAAACCCTCCCTTTCACCACTCCTTTCTCTAAAAACCAGAGGGTCTGCAAACATGATTTGGTACATGTTGCTACATGGGTCTCTTAAAGCAGTTATCCAGGACTTAGAGTCAACCTGAGAAATAAAACACATGCTTAATCAGGAATTGAGAGGTGAGCAAAAAAATATGAGTCGGAGGGATGAATTAACTAAACAGCTCCACTATTAATGTAATTATACTTAAAGGGATAGTTCACCCCCAAATAAAAATTATTTCATTTTTTGACTCTCAAGTCTTTCCAAATCTGTATGCATCTCTTTCATGGAACACAAAAGAAGATATTTTGAATTGTAGTAATATTTCTTTTTTTTTTTGTCCATACAATGAAAGTCAGTACAATCCAATGCTGTTTGGGCCCCAGTATTATTTAAAATATATATTTTTTGCTTTCTGCAAGAAGATAGTTAAGGCCTGTTCACACCAAGAATGAAAAAAATGATAAGCGTCTACACCAATGCACGATAATGTTCTGTTTATTAGATGAACTGCAGTTGTGTCATCTGCCGCTCCCAATGTTCAGGCTCTTGAAAGTCAGATGGATTCTGATTGTCAAAGTTTATATCGTTTATCAGCTTTAAAAAATGTTCAGTATGGTGTAAAAAGTGCAACAGTATGGTTCCTCTATGTCGTTATCATTATAATTTTGGTGTGGACTTTATTTTTCAATATTTTATAATAAAACAAAAGAACTAAAACTAAAATGAAAAAAACAAAAAACTGATTCAAAATATTAATAAAAAATATAAACTATAATAAAAATTTAATGAAACGATATAATAGCTCAGTGATGCTAAAATAACAATTGCGTGAACGGCCTTTGGTTTGGAACAGCATAAGATTTTTGGGTGAACTATACTTATAAGAAAAAAAAAGGGGGACCCAAGTTATACAGAAATGACAACAACCACCTAGCAACCACTCAGAACATTCTAGCAACCACACTGTAACATCCTAAAAAAACACAACACCACGGCAACCGCATAACATGGCAGCAACTTTTGCACAGAAAAGCATCCATTACAGTTTTTTACTGAAAAAAAGTGAAAATCTAGTTTTTAAATTCTAAAAGACATAATAACAGCATAAATGAGATTGTTGTAGGTCAAAACAACAGAAGTGATGGAATATTGAAATCTCTACATCAATTAGTACTTAAGAGTTCTCCATTTGTGAGCAGTGCATATGGCAGAGCGTGCTCGAGTTGAGTGATTTTTTTAGTGACAAAATCTCTCAACTGTTCTTATTTGTTCAAGCGCTTGGTAAAAGATGAGATCTTGGCACCAAAGTTCAAACAACTTATGCTCCCTGTTTCACTCTGTTTCACAAATGCGAGTTAAGAGCTACTTAATTAAAGATGCTATCTACTTTCAGTTTCACACACGCCGCTTAAAAGGAGGTGTGTGCGTGTTGCCAGAGGAAAAGCGGGAGAGCGGAGAGGGTACGGATCGATACGAGAGGGAGTCCAGGCTGTCACTCAGCCTCGTCTCCCCGAGGGAGGCCACGAGAGATCCAACACATAGATAAACTCTCATCTCATGGAAATGGAGTCACTCCTCACCCAGTTTCCAACACTCTTCCTCCTCAAAGATAGATGAATGAGAAAAACCAATGAACTAATGAATGAGTCAATGAACGAATAAAAGTAGATTGTGAGGATAAATGAATAACATAAGAGTGTAATTGTCAGTTGGCCTTTCAGAGATGAATGAGGAGGTAATCCATCTAACTGATAAAATCCCACTCCCCTCAGAGAGGCTGCCCATGGGTGAAATATTAGTCTGAAGTGCTTTCACTGGATTGGCTTTTCGTGGTAAAAAAAAATAGCATCCTGATATGCCGGTTCAGGCAATACAAATGTCAAGAACCAATTAGGTAAGCAAGAGTGTTTTGACACCTTTTTTTTTTCCCCCACAGAGATTATTGTGTCTAAAAGTTTTAAACAAGGGGCAGCTGGAGACTTTGGGTGTTTTACTATTCAGTGATAACAACAGATGTCCAAATGACCTGCTCAGTCAAAATTAATTGTTTAGGATGTTCTGCACTGCATTTTGGTGATAAATGCCACAAGGTATAGTTATTTATTTTTTTAAATTATTGTGTTATTAGTACCTGAAATGAGGTGGCAAAGTTTGAATTGGTATATTAGGCCAATGAACGATAAATAAATAAATAAATAAATTGAATCAAATGTTTGAAAAAAAATCTATATTGTATTAAATTATATATTTAAATGTTTTATATATCTACACTACTGGTAAAAAAAAAAATCTGTTTTTAAAAGAAGTCTCTTATGCTCTGCATTTATGTGCTCAAAAATACAGTGAAAACAGTATTACAATTTAAAATAACTGTATTGTAATATATTTTAAAATATAATTTATTCCTGTGATACAAAGCTGAATTTTCAGTATCATTACTCCAGTCTTCGGTCTCACATGATCCTTCAAAATAAATGGATCATATAAATGCAGATTTGGTGAGAATAAGAGACTTCATTAAAAACATTTAAAAATCATAATCATCCTAATCATAATCATCATTTCCAAACGTTTGACAACTAAAAATAAGAGGACACATTAAATTGGACAAAAGTTAAAGTAAAAACATTTATCATGTTACAAAATATTTCTATTTCAAATAAATAATGTTCTCTTCATCCAAAAAAAGGACAAAATATTTAATAATTATTTTATTAATTATACTTATTATTAAAACAATAATACATAATAATAATAATAATATATAATTATATCGCTCACAGATGTTATACATTTGCTTAAAAATAATATATTTTAATATTTGTTTTATTTTTGTTCTGTTGATTTGTGTTGTCCCTAGAGTATCTTTTCTCACTTTCTTTTTTATGTTGTTATTTATATTACAGGCTGGGCACACCAGATGTAGCTCACCTGTGGTCTCGATCTCATTTTCTGGCTGAGACTGCAATAATGATGATAAGCAAAGTAAGAAGCAGCACTCCAGCGATTAGCAGATAACATTTCCTCCTCCTCAGCTGCCTCTGGAATACAGAATAAAGAAGAAAAAGGTTTGGGAGATATTACTGTATGATTAAGGATAACGATAGTTTACCCAAAAATGAAATTTATGTCATTTTCATGTCATTCTAAACCAGTTTGACTTTTTTTGGGCAGAATGTTAATGCTGCTCTTTTCCATTCAATGTGAATGTTGACCAGGGGCTTTCATGCTCAAAAAAAAAAAAAAAAACTTTAAAAGTACGGAGTGTCTATTTACACTAAGTGCAAATAGCCCGCCTTGTTGGCAGAGGCTATTTACACTAACTCCACCCATCAACGTGTGATTCGGCTAGTCAACATTACAACATTACATGGCGCAGATGGTAAAACATGTGTCGTACTCATTTTGACGTGATCGACCCGGGTTCGAATCCGCCTTTTGGCAAACTTTTTTCTCCCTTTTCAAATTCAAATTACATCAGAAAAGCATTTATTTTCAATGAAAATGAAGGAAATAATCAAAAAGTTGAAAATAAAGTATCGGATAGGGTAGGTGTAGGGAGTGCTTTATTGTCCCAATAAGGTGGCATCCATTTAATAATTTGAATGCACTTAGTGTAAATAGCATATCACTAAACAATGCTGCTATTTGCAATTAGTGTAAATAGCATCCATCGCTATTTGCACTTAGTGTAAATAGCATCTATCACTAAGAAAATATGCTATTTTCACTTAGCGTAAATAGCATCTATTGCTATTTACACGTAGTGCAAATAGTCGCTGCCTTAAAAGTATTCCATACAACAACATGCCCTGCATAGAGCCATGCACAGATTGTCTGAAAATCTCCCTTTTCATTGTAGCACTCAAATCTTACTTCTGCTTTTGAATATGCATTCAAATTTGTTGTGTGAACTGCATTGGAGACAATTATGGCTTAACATTCTGGCTTTTCTTCACAAAAATCATATAACTTCAGAGAGCGCTCAACACTCTCATGCAGTGTATGTTTAATTCATTCTCGAAGCCGGAGGGCGCTCTCGTGCAGAAAGTACAAAACAGACTCATAGAAGGAATGACTTATGACGTGCAGGAAACCCTAATATGGGCAAAAGCATCTGGCTATTGCTGTAGCTGAACTGAATGGCATCCTGGTAGTGCGCTACATTAAAGGTGTCTGAACGTGAGGGATAATCCCTGATGAGATCGTCAGTTGAAAGGTCATCATCATGTGGATAATTTTATTTACGTCTAAATTATAATTCATTCATTTTACTAATAGTTAGATTGGGCAGGCCTTCACAAAATGGTGTTTAATTACAAAAAATAAAAAATAAAATTGCCTTGACAAAAGGGCACTTTGGGCATCAAGGGGAAAGGGGCAGGTGCTCAAGCACCCATCGCACCCCCCCTCTGCACGTGCCTGACTTCAGAAGATTTTTGGAGCTTGACAACCCCTGATTACCATTTACTTTCATTGTACAACTTAAATCAGCATCAATGTTCTGCTATGTTGTGTTCCACAGCAGAAAGAAAGGCATAGAGGTTTGAAACAACATGTGGGGGAGTGAATTATGCAAGAATATACATAAACAAAAACAATGAGCCACTATCAAGATATCGAAAATACTGAGTAAGGTGATAGTAACTGAACATGCATTCAGACAACATCCAGCAGCATACTCTTAATAGACTAATAACAAAAGCAAGACTCGTGAGTCAAATAGATTTGTTCACACACACACACACCCACACACAAATCTATAGAATAAATTCTTTTTCGGTTGCCCGCCACTGTTAAAATCAATAAATCAACAGTCATTATCCAGTACGAGCGGCCCTTCTAGGTACAAAAGGACTGGCATGGAATAAAAGAACAAAATTACACCATCATTTTCCAAACAGGTTCCCGCCACCGATGCAGTACCACAATACGAAATGAAGGTGCTGCCATCAATTGACCTCTATAGGCTCTCTCCTCAATACAGAGAAATGCTTTGAAAATGATTTCTCAAAGACAGAATTGAATTGTGGCCTAGAGTCAAGAGCTGTTGGCCAAGCATGAGAGAGCCGCATTCTCCGCCGCGCTCGAGTTCTGGCTGAACAGCGTTCGCAAAACCCATCTGGCTCTCTGATGCTCTTCGCCTCTGATAAAGCACCGCAATGGGAGGAAGCCCTGCTCTGTTTTCAAAAGAATTTTGGAAAACTGCCGAAAGTGTCATTTGGACTTTCAATGTCCAAGACCAAAACCCCCGCGGATCTATTGTTTTGTCATGCTGAGAAATTAAGATCCAGTTTAGAACCAGCGCAACCAACAAGTGTGGGAATAATAAACAACACTGAATGGAATTTGCTTGCTGAGTGGATTTCAATATATATTTTTCCGACTCGGCAGGTGGCTCCGACTTTTGGGAGTGTAGATTCTATGTTGTTTTGAAATGCCCTTCCCTGCTTCCCATAGTTTTTTTTTTTTTTTGACAAAGCCAGAAAGAGCAGCAGTCGTAGACCACAGCTAGGCTGGAGTCTTTAAATCCTGATGTGCTTCAAAGCACAAAGAGCAATTCATCTTCTTATCTGAGACTGGAAACAGACTTTCTATGTGGAAGTGTGCATGTGGGGGGAGGGAGGGAGAGAAGGAGGCAAAAAAAAAAAAAACTGCTGTCGAGTAATTTTCCGTTTTAACGTTCCACTCCACAACAATTTGCATAAGCAGCCCTGTGTCTGTGATAAGAAGATTGGTAATTTTCAAAGGCTCTGTAGGGATTGGGAATTAAAAGCCTCTCTCTGCTATCTCCTCTCTTGCAGCTGGTCACCACAGATTCCCTCGTTTCTTTCTTACATTTCTCCAAAACCGCGCCTTATAAACTTTATCTCTCTCTCTCGTTCGCTCTATCACTCAGAATTCAGTCTCTAGGCGCTGATTTTAACTCTGCGTTATCCCAGGCCTGCTCTGTCATTTAGAGAAAACAGGAAAATAAATCAGGTAAAAAGGGAACAAAAAAGCTTTAGGTGACAATACAACTGTTGCTCCATTTCGGAGCTTGAAATTTTTTCCTGATGCTACGGTTGAGAAACTTCAGTCACATGATCCTTCAGAAATCATTCAAATATTCTGATTTATTGCTCAAAAAACATTTATTATTATTATTATTATTATTATGCTGAAAACGGCTGAGTATAATTTTTTCAGGTTTCTTTGATGAATAGAAAGTTCAGAAGAACAGCATTTATCTGAAATATAAATTTTTTGTAACATTATAAAATGTCTTTATCATCACTTTTGATCAATTTAAAAAGGAAAAGGGAAATTAATTTTCTCTCTCTTCATGTACCCAATTTAGTCGAGCTGCTGTAGAAGCCCTAAAACTAAGGCACCTTGATATTGAAAAAGGTTTCGGGGTAGTCCTATAAATGATTAAACTACTGTATGAATATGCACTGATAATTTAATTAGAAGCTTTGATTTTGTTCTTAAAGATTTTGTGCAATTGTACAGAAATGTATGCAAAATTATATTGTATATGATCAGGGCTGGACTGGGACAAAAAAATCGGCCCTGGCATTTTTTGGTCCAGCCGGCACACCCCCACTATATATATATATATATATATATTCTGTTTACGTATTCTACACTCATGGCGCGCACACACATGAGGATAGGTTAGATGCCTGCCTCTGCTGCGAGTTCCTATCAAGCACTTTACAGATTCAACTACTCTCTTCTTCTCCTCCTGCCTGGCTCTTTGGCCCGCATCACTCACAGCAGAGCAAGCCTGTTCTTGATAAAGCAGCTGTGAAAGGTGGGAAAAGCCGACGAGGAAGAAGATGGGGTGAAGTGATATTTATATAGGCGGAGAAAAATACTTCATCGCTCCGTCTATAGCGCATTGTGATTGGGTGGTTTACGCTGTCAATACAGGAGACAAACCAATGGGCCACTGGCTGCTCGCTGTCCCTGCTTGATGGTCCTCGAAAAAAACAAAAAACAAAAAAAAAAACCTTCTGTCAGCCCCTTAAGTGCGTCGGCCCACCGGGAAAATGCCCGGTATGTCCGATTACCAATCCAGCCCTGTATATGATACTGATACACTACTGTTCAAAAGTTTGGGGTTGGTAATTTTTATTTTTTTGAAAAAAGTCTCATGCTCACCAAGGCTGCATTTATTTGACAAAAACACATTAAAAACAGTAATATTGTGAAATAATATTACAATTCAGAATAACTGTTTTCTAATTTTAATGTATGTTAAAATGCAATCTATATCTCTGGTGGTAAAGCTGAATTTTCAGCAGCCAAAACTTCAGTGTCACATGATCCTTCAGAAATCATTCTAATATGCTGATTTGGTCCTTAAGAAACATTTCTTATTATTATCAATGTTTAAAGCTGTTGTGCTGATAATATTTTTGAGGAAACTTGAGGATACCTTTCTTTTCAGTAGAATTCAATGAATAGAACGTTCAAAAGAACAGCATTTATTTGAAATATAAATCTTTACTGTCACTTATGACCAATTTATTGCGTCCTTGGTAAATATATGTGTTAATTTATTAAAAAAATATATATACAATTGAGGGAGGCTCAAAAAATTTATATACTTCACTAAATTAAAAACAGTCTGTCACATTTTTTCCCTGACATGACATGATCGGTTTTAGTTTATTAAACCGACAAAATCGTTGAAACAATTTAAAAAATAAAATAAAGTCATACATGTATGCCTAAATTGTAACAGAAGTTTCATTTTTGGGTGAACTATACATTTAATTGTTATGAGCTTTATCAGAGCTATTTTACTATTCAGGTCACCTAGTGGCTGGATGGGAGAACTGCCTCAAAAGGTCATTTAAAGGTCCCCTGAAATGCTTAGAAACACGCAGCATTACTCTGTGTTGACGTCATTTTAACTGAAACAGGAAGACAGGGCGGGACTTATCAAGCAGCCCCGCCCCTTTTAAAATAGCCAATAGCATTTGTTTATATCACAGCTTGGGCTAGAGCCATTGAGCTCCGTAAAGCCGCATTTGACAGGGTATGGTTT